TACCCGGCGAGTCCTAAGAATCGTCTTACTTCGTGCTCGTTTCTCGGTCGTGGAAACGTGGCTATGACCTCCGTCTTCTTACCCGGCTGAATCGTTCCTTTCGATATTCGAAATCCCAAATATTCCAAACAATCGAACCAGAAAGTGCATTTGTTTGGCTTAAGCGTCAGCCCGGCAGCGCGTAACACCTTGAACACTTGTTCTAATCCGTCAAGCATGTGTTCAGAGTCCTTCGACGGCATTATTATGTCGTCCATATAAACATTGACCAAACCATCGTTTTTCAGTTCTTTGAAAATGGTGTTTATCATACGTTGGAACATCGCTGGTGCTCCTTTGAGGCCAAAGGTCATCCGTTCAAATTTTGCTGCAGCGTCTTCGGTAATAAACGCCGTTTTCTCTTTAGCTTGGGGGCTAAGCGGGATCTGTAGGAACCCGTTAGAAAGGTCCATTGTCGTAAATATGACGCCGTCTGCAAGTGTACTTAGCTGGCCATCGATGTCGGGCATCGGGAAAATCGGCGCAACTGTTTGCTGGTTGAGTTTTCGGTAGTCCACGCAAAGCCTTATGTCACCGGATGCTTTATTTACCAACAACACCGGACTGGCGTAAGGTGACGTCGAATAACTCACGATCCCGGCCGACTTCCACTCCTGCAGTATCTCCGTTATACGTTTACGGTCGGTCGGTGATGTGCGATACGGTTTGGCATTTATCGGCACACTTCCCGATTTTTCGACGATGTCCATCTGCACATCCTTAGCGCAGCCTAGTTCAAAAATATTTTTTGCAAACACATCACGATATGCATTTATAAGGTTAATCAGTCGCGCACGATCTTTTTCGGTGATTTCCGGTCCCACTTTGATCTCGTCAGCGGTAATCGGTTCCCACGTTATAGACCCTCGTTGCTCAACTTCTGCGACATAAACACGTATGTCCTCGTCGTGCGGCGTCGTAAATAGCACACTTGGATCGGCTGGGCTGACCGAATCAAGGACAAGCTCAGCTCCACATTTGAAGTAAACAACATGAGCTAGGTTTAGCCATGACCTGCCCACTATTACGTCGACCGGAATCGATTTGTCGGGGACGATGAGTACCGGGTGATCCGCTCCGATAACGCCGTCAACGGCCACGTCTGTCGTCCCTTCACCCGTCGTTTCCGCACCAGGTTGTGTCGCATCTCCCACCGTATAGAGTGGGCGCGATACGAGTCGTACACTGATGTTACATTCGCGTGCAATCGACGCTCGGACTAACACATCGGATGTACCTGTGTCAACCAATCCATCCACTGACTTCCCGTTCAATTGCACTGTCTTCAGAAACGGATTCCGACTTCACGTAGTGGTGAGAGATTCGACTAGACAGGCGTCCGATTTCCCTGTTGTTGTTTCGGCGGTCTCCTCGGTCGCGGTACAACGACTACGCGTGTGCCGTGTTGATCCGCAGTTCGAACACGGACGTCTTGGTTTCGGACAGTCTCTGGCGATGTGTCCTTCTGCTCGACAATTATAACATTGAGGCGCCTTGTACTCATATTTCGGTGTTTGTTTCACAGCATCGTCTTTTGCCGCTACCGAAGTCGTCCACTTCGGAGCCGGCGGCAAAACGTTGGTACTTCGGCTTGCGTTGTCCTCTTCTGGTGGCGTTTTTCTCTGGTAACCGGTCGATGGGTTTTTATTTGACGCAAATCTCGTTTTCCGTTTATCGCGTAACCGCTCCCAGTCGTGCAGATCGGACAGCAACTCGGTTAGGTTTTCGTGGCGTCGACTGGAGGTCCAATAGGCTTGATCCTGAGATCGGAGCCCCTCCAACACATAATCCCTCGTCTCCGAAAACGTTAGATCGAGAGAACGGCACATTCCCGCCTTGTCGTAGAAATAGTCGACCACGGGCTCGTCAACGTTTTGAATTCGATTTTCCAGCATTTGCCACCGGTCCGACCTTCGCAACACCCGCACGAAGGCCGCGCGGAACTTGGAGACAAACTCATCCCAATCTTCAAATTGTTCGTATAAAAACCAACTTCGAGAGGCGCCCTCGACGCGACTCCGCACGTACTGGAGCCGAAAGTGGAACGGCCAGTCATTAACATTCGCTAACCCGTCAACACTCGCAATCCAGTCCTCCGCGATATTACCGGACTCACGGCCGTTGAATTTCGACACGGCGTTACCGACGTCTGGTAATATTCGGTAATTGCTCACGTCGTTGCACCGAGTCAACGATTTCGCGCTTGCGACGGTGTTGTCCGGGTTAGACGTTTCGCCAGTCAGCTTAAATTCAAGCGCTCTTAGCCTTTCGCGAAGCTCGTCGTTTTCCTTTACGAGCTCTACGTATCTCGGCGCGGTTATCACATTCTTATCGTTCGAGTTCGTGTTATCGTCCAACATGATAACGATACCAACACCGGTAGTAATCGTAAACAGTCAACAGCTGCTGTTGCTGATGCGTGGCGCGCTCTAGCAGATAGCGGCAACAAAAGGCGGGATAGGTACTTGACCGCACTCGCACGAATGACGGCACGCGAACGCACTCGCACGAACAACGCCAAAGACGACTTCGGGTTTTTCCCAAAACGCCGGGAAAACAACACGAGGTTTTCGGTCACTTTTCCGTTTCGGACAAACGGGTTATAACGGTTCTAACGCCGGAATTTCGTTTTCCGTTCAATCTCGCTTGAACGACGGCACGCGAAAGCACTCGCACGAACAACGGCGAAGACGACTTCGGGTTTTTCCCAAAACGCCGGGAAACAACACGAGGTTTTCGGTCACTTTTCCGTTTCGGACAAACGGGTTATAACGGTTCTAACGCCGGAATTTCGTTTTCCGTTCAATGACGGCAGAGCGGACCACGAAAAACGGCGTATCCCACTTCTGAATTGTTAGGAATACTAGAAAAGAAGGGACTAATAACTAACTAAACGCGTTAAATTAATAGCTCTAATTACTGTCAGGACTTTATTTATTACGACTTCAAATAAGAACACATTTAAACAAAAGAAATCACTAATTAAGACACTTTAAACTTAATTATTACAACTACGTCGGCCAAACGTCGGCCAATGCTGGATCAGTTGGAATCCGAACGGCGATTCGCTAACCCAGGAGCACTGCGTCGTAACGTCGACCGCACGGAACTGTCCGCAGTGTCACACACTTGCACACTCGTGCGCCACAACTGCCGTGACGGTAGTAGCGAGCGGTGCCAGTGTGTCACACTTTACAATTAATTAATAAAAAGGCGCTAACAAATATTGGCACAGGAAAAAGTTTGAAAATCGCATTATTTCACTTTTGTGGGGGGCTGGGGAAATGTGCAAAAAATAAAATGCGATTTGTACGGAGGGGAAATGACGTGCGAACTCCGGGTCTGGACGTGCAAATTCGTGCTAATTACGTGCTAAATATTGGCACAGGAAAAAGTTTGAAAATCGCATTATTTCAATTTTGTGGGGGGCTGGGGAAATGTGCAAAAAAGAAAATACGATTTGTACGGCGGGGAAATGACGTACGAACTCCGGGTCTGGACGTGCAAATTTGTGCTAATTACGTGCTAAATATTGGCACAGGAATTAATTCTGATTTGACATTATGTGTGTTTGGCGGGGCTGGAGAAATATTTCTCCAGCCCCCCACGGATATTTTTAGATTTTATTCATAATCTAAAAACGTGCAAATTACGAAAATAGTCGTGCAAATTCATGCTAATAGCATGCTAAATGATGGCATAAATTTTTTTTTATATTTTGAATGTGGGGGGGCCAGAGAAACGTACGTGTTGGTTTATGAGTTAGTATTAAAAGGCAATGTTTAAATTTGTTATATTATTATAGATTTGTTAATTAACTTAAAAATTATATGTAAATATGTTACATATTTACTTTGTTTCATATCATAAACCGACTTTTAAAAATGCTCACTTGGTAGTTGACGACTGTAAACTTTTAGATATAAAAATTAGAAAAGTTTCATTTTATTCATGCCAAAGCCTGCCATGATTCTTGAAAAGCCTGCCATGATTTTAGATATCAAAAAAACATTTTTTGTGCATTTTATGTTGCCACTAAAACACATAAATTGTGGTGAACGTACCTTGCTTACTACTGATACTTATAACTGAGAATTTATTGGAATTTATGGGTTTTTGTGATAATAATAACACGTGCGGAAAAAACGCACGTGTTATTAATAGATATAAATTACATACATTTTTGATATTAATAACGAGTGTCCGAATTGGACACACGTTAAATATAGATATGAAATGCATAAATTTTTAAAAAATAATGATATTGAATTTGAATAGATTTGTTTAATTTTTTTGTAATTTTAACAGATTTGTTTAGATTTTTTGTAATTTTTAACAGGAAAATATAAGGTCGGTTTTTTTTAATGTTTTTTCAATGTTATTTTAGATTTTTTTTATGCTTTTTTGTGTGTTTTTTTATGCTTTTTTATGTTGTTTATGCATTTTTTGATAGTTTTTATTCAATTTTTAAAGATTTTTTAAGGTGCTTTTTTTGTAATATAAAAAGTGTGCTCAAGTGCCCCACCTACTACTATAATGCATTAACTGAAAAAATATTTAGAACTGCATATTTTATAGCCAAAAATCAAAGGTCATATACTGATATGCCCAAACTTGTAGACCTCCATGTAAATAATGGTTTGGAAATGGGTCGCATTTTGCAGACTGATAAGAAATGAGGAAAAAAATTTGCAAAGATATAGTAGATAACAGAAGAAAATTATGTATAATTGTGAACGAATCTACTACAATCAGCAGCAAAATTATGCTGGTAATTTGTTAAAGAGCTGCTATCGCTCACGAAGAAGATATAATAACTTTCTTTTTTGACATAATTGAATTACAAAACACATCCGCAAGTACAATTTATGCTGCTATTATCGATGATCTATCAAATATGGAATCAACCATGAATATTTAAAAAAAACTTGGTTGGTTTCGTTAGTGATGATGCATCAATCATGTTGGGAAGAGTGTCAGGAGTTGGTGTTAAGCTACAAAATTTTTACCCTAATATAATTCTGTGGCATTGCTGTAACCACAGGCTTGAATTGGCTGTATCAGATACTCTGAAAGAAGTTCATAGAACTAATCATTTTCAAAGTTTTATTGAAAAACTATATGTGTTGTATCATCAATGGCCAAAAAATAGAAATGAATTAAGCATATTATGTGCAGCATCTTTAGAGCAAAAGCTATTAAATATTGGTAAAATATTTACCATTATGTGGGTTGCATCTAGCGAGAAGACTTTGAAGGCTGTTTTTAATAATTACACTTCATTATTTAAGCATTTTTTCAATGCATCTAATGATAGTCTAAGAGAGTAAAAAGAAAGAGCCAAATATACTGGACTGAAGAACATTTTGACATCATTGAAGTTTGTTAATAATTTAGGTACACATTTGGTTAAATACTTAATCTTCATTTTATAGTTATTTGTTACAAATAACTAAACCCTTTGCCTTTACTTGGCAAATATCACTGACAATATAGCAAAAACCAAAGTAGAAAACTTAACAATAAAACTATTGAAGCAATATCCATGCTTATATAACTTCAAAATACCTGAATACTCCTGAAGGGACATAACAGAAAAGGCCTGGTCAAAGGTAGCAGAAGAAGTCAAAGAGTCAGGTAATAATATTTGTATTTTATTTTTATTATAAGTGCTATATATTTAAAAAAAAAGTAAATCAAATTTACAAAATTATACCTAGTACTTGCGAGTAACAAACTAAAAATTATATTAGATTATAAATTGCATTATATTATTTATTTTATTATATTATTTTGAAACTTTATATCAGTAAATCATTATAGATATGAACAATTTTAGTAATCACACTATACTCATTTCAAACGAAATAATAATATAACGTAGATAGGTAATAATGTATAGTTATTAATAATTAGGTAATCCGTTAATTTACGGTAAATAATAATATAATATATTTAATCATTTAATCTATTATTGTATATTTTCTGTTTGAAATTCTATTAATAAAATACCCATGTGTAATACTGTACTACACAAATCTATAAATAATTATAATGACCCATTATTAGACTTTATTTTATTATTATTAATTATTATTTATAAATATTAGGTTATGAATATTAGATATTATCATTTTATAAATTTATTTAATATGACTATCGGAAAAACTATACACAGTTACTCCACGGCAAGATACAGTTATCCCAATCATGATAAGAACTATGTCATATCGTGGTACCAACGTTGAAAATAAAAATCCCGAAGTATTCTTTTTACTAGACAAAATATTATATTATATAATAAATAATTAAATAATAAATATTTTATGTTAAATATTAATAAATAAATAATATTGTTTAAAGGAAAATTATTATATAAATTTATATTTTTTTTTTCTATTTTTAAAAGTGTAGGTAGTCATTTTTTTAGCAAATTATTTAATATTTTATTTTATTGTGATATATATAATTCCTTTTGATTTGAAAGTTCATAATTTTTAAAATTATTGAAGTGTTTATTAGTACAATTGGTCAGTCAAATGATTAATGAACCAATAGCTTTAGAAGCATTCAATCAGATATACAATAAAGATGTAGTCATATGTGATATGTGATTGAATAGTAGATATTAAGCGACCTTGGCTATGTGCAAGTTCCAATTGACTTATTTTGAACAAAAGTGGTACAGAAAAGGTATTGTAAATTAAATGTCCAATATCATGTAAAGACAAACCAATAGTTGATTCTAATAAAAATATAAATGTAAAATACTTGGAATGGGATAAGAAAATAATATATTGATTTACCCCCATATACCGACCCCTTCCCATACCGTGATAATGAATAATGATATTAATATAATATTCTAATGTTATAATAAATATTATTTATATTATAATTTAAAAGTACCTATTAGCTATTTATAAACTTACAATGAATATAATATATAGGACGGACTACGTTTCGTACAGTATCTCACCATGTGCCCAATTAAATTCCCATTCGGAATTTTTTTTTAATATTTGACGTTGGTAACAAAACATTTTACTCCACTGCCACGGCAGTGATGCATAGGGTTTAACAAAATATGAAGCCAAATATTCTCTGAGATCACTCGCTGTTTGTGTCCTCGGCAACTAATTTTGATCTTGGTTGTCCATGATAAACTCGTTGGGTACTTGGAAGTCTTGTGAATTATTTATATTCAAATCAATAGAAGGTATATACTGCCGACCTTCCCTTTTACATATGAAATAGTGGAGGATACATACTGAACGTATTATATTGCTTATAATAGTTTCATTAGTGCATATTGGTGACATCAATACCTGAAATTTTTGTGACATCGTGCCAAACGAACACTCCACAGTTTTTCTACCTCTACCGAGTCTGTAGTTAAATATTCGTTTTTTATTTGTTAATGTTCTCCATGGGTTTGGTCTCATTAAATTTTTCAAAGGGAATGCTTCGTTGGCTACGAAATAAAATGGAAAATTAATTTCGTTAGGGTCATTAGGCAATGGTCTTGGATTTGGCAAATTAAAACCATCTCTTTCAAGCCAACGACCCATTCTTGATGCTCGAAAAATACCACCATCACTATTTCTGCCTGCGAAACCAGTTTCTATCATGATGAAGTTTCCATCTGCATCACTGCAAGCCATTAAAACAATTGAATGGTATGTCTTATAGTTGAAGTTAGTCGACCCTGTATTTGGAACTTTTTGTATTCTTATGTGTTTTCCATCTATAGATCCTACACAATTTGGTAAATTCTATAATCTGTAATACTGATTAACTATACTCATCTATTTTTCTTCAGTTGGTATTGCCATGTATTCGTTAACTAAACATTCCCATATTTTTTTTTTGTATTTTCAGAAATTATTTTACTTATTGTGTTAGCACCTCGAGCAAAATAAAATGCTAGGCTGGAATAAGTAGATCATGTTGCCAGGTACCTAATGTTAAAAAAGTTTTCATTACTTCTTATTTTATACATTTCCTCTTTAAGTATAAAAGTATATAATTAATGTTTTATTATTTTATATTTTAGTTACATTTTGTAAAGAAAAATGGAAAAACCTAAGAACTGTATTTGTCAGAACTAATAAATCAGCACCTAGTGGATCTGCTAGAAAATCAAAGAGGCCGTACTATTTAAATGAACATTTGCAATTCATTTTACCATATGTAAAAAGTAGCACTGATTTGACTACTTCAGGAAATCTTCCTTCTCCCACTCTAGATCACGACATTTTACTAGAAAATAATGAACAAAGCGACGCTGAAAACCAAGTTGAAGATCTCGTTCAACAAGAACAACACTTTAGTGACAAAATCATAAGTGAAAACCAAGAAAAAGTTCGTAGTCCTGAAGAACAAACAAAATGTAACAAGAAACGAAAGAGTGAACTTACTCAAGATGACCAAAGTTTTATTGATTTTGTGAAAATGAAGAAAACTAAATTGTGCGGAGAAGATCCTAGAAGAATGTACTTTCTTGGTTTATTACCTGATGTTAACGCCATGACCGATAAACAGATGAGAATGTTTAAAAAAAAGTACCAGATTTGATTGATGACATTTTAACTGAAAATCCAACTCCTCAAAAACAAAAAACACCAACTTCAAACACTTTAATTACGTCTCGTTCTCAGACTCCATTTTCTAATTACTCCGGTTCGTCATTATATACATATAATAACTCACACAACAGTTGCACGACAATCCCCTCTCCTGAAGAAGTTACCTCACAATATTCAACCAAAACGAACATTTAATAGATGATTTGCTGTACATTGGCTAAAAGAAGTTTATTACTGGTACTACCTGTTACATTAAAGTACATGGTTCATGAAAATTATTTAGTATACTTAATTTTATTTTCTATTTCTATTTCTACATTATTATTATGCGTATGTTAATAAAGTGTTAATAAGTAAATAAAGAATCATTACCTCAATGTTATCATTAATCTTTCACGCACTTATACACAACGACGGAAATGTGTGTCTTGTTTTTCAATAGCCGGTCCCACTTTTTCTACAAGTAAGTTGAAACTTTCTTCATGCGATAAAAAGATTGAAATTTTACATCGTGTTGCATTAATTCATTAGCGGCAACAAATATTCGATAATTAATATTATTTTGTATGTATGGATGTATCCAATATTTCCTCTTTTTTTATTTTACGGTGTCGATACCAATATGACACAATACAAAACTAGTCATCTTCAGAAGACGACATGATTGCTACTGACTACTGAGCAACTGCTGAAATATCGCCTATTGTGTGCAGAACTCCTGACGAAATTTTACTTGGCAACTATTTTTTTTTAAATCGTGTCAACGTCACGTTACGTCGCGTCGCCCTAGTGGGACAAGTCCCTTAATATACCGATTTTTTATAGAATTTTTATCAAAAAGAATTTTTTAGGATTGCAATTTAATAGTATTTAAAAAAAGATTTTTTTAATATTTTTTAATAAATACAACATTTTTAAGAGAGATTTTTTAAATTATGAATTTATTGAATCAAAATAATAATACATACATAATCACATATTCACAAGTATATTTATCATAATATAAGACTTACGAGCTGATTCTCAGTTTTATAAATTATTTAATTGGTTTTAATTGGTTTGTTCCCCCTTCTGCAAAGATGTGATCTGCAACTTTAAAGACATTATCTTTGTACGTCACTTTCTTATCCCTAATTCCTAATTCAAATGAAAAGATGTAGGTATCAATTTAGTTAAAATTAGGGAGTATATAATGATTAATGAGTATCTTTATTTAAATACTATATAGGATGCAAAAACGGATCGTGAACCCAGACTATTTTGTTTAATTTTAATTTTAAGCTAAGTTTATAAATAATATAGGTAATCTTAATCATGTAAAAAAAATAAAATTGTTTTTTTCTATAGATAACAAAGAAGCCGGGTAGAAAACCAATTACTGACCATGAATTGGTTTTTGAGGCACTTGTTAATAAAAAACATTTACTATTTATTGATAATGAACTGAAACCCATCTCCGATTATATTTGGACAGAAATCTCCTTGGATCTTGGAAATAAAATCACACCAAATAGTTTGTACATATCAGTATATTAAAACCGCCATGGATGGAAAAATCACCTTTATGACTTGTGTGGCATTACAACATTATGTCAAACCTCAAGTTTTGACATAAAATGTGATACTCAAGTTCATCTTTAACAGAATTCAATATAAATAAGACCGTTTTTTTTTTTTACAATTCCCTATCAGCTATTTTCTAGTATAATGCCATGGTACTACACGGTACAAAAAAAAAGGCAGTTAAAGATTTTATAATACAGTGGAATCCGTTTATTGTGGGCACCGGTTAATATGGGCATCCGCTTATTGTGGGCAAACTGGTCTGGTCGCAATACAAATGTATATTAACAATGCTAAATCTAACCACTTAATATGGGCACTCGATTCGGTTTATGTGGGCAATTTTATTTTATCATAGCGTTAGAATATACACATATGTATTTAAAAATGACTAATTTAATCGGATTTCGTCATATCTATGTGATTGTGTTTATCGAAAGTAATAAAAATCATTATGCCATTTATCCAACCCTTAGATATAGATATTATCAAAAACCTCAAGGTGAGATACAGAATGAAACTAGTTCATTTTATTCTAGAAAAGATTGAGGAAAATCTGTTTGATCCATTTGCAACTGCTAATCAAATTAGTGGCAAAATAAACGTATTGCAAGCGATACAGTTTGCATACGAGAGTTGGCGAGAAGTTAGCTGCTCAACTGTTATGAATTGTTCCGCTTATTGTGGATTTTCTAATTTTATTGGTCCACAACCTGAGTTGGATGAACAATTTTTGTTTGTTCAAAACCATAACGAATTTGAAAACATTGATGAAAATGCTCCCTGGAAATTTAATTTATATAGTAATTATTTTACTTTTTTTCAGTTATATGATAATAAAAATAAAAACTTTTTTGTATTATAATTTTTTTTTTTTAACTAATTTCGGTTTTTATGGGCAACCGCTTAATGTGGGCAAACAGAGCTGGTCCCAACGTGCCCACATTAAGCGGAATTCACTGTATTAATATTAACATATTAACAGCCCGGCGTTGACCTTTGGGCTAGGCGGATAACAACCCCACCAAATATATAGTTTATATATAGGTACGTCATGACTGGGTCGACTCACTATGTTGTATATTTATGTAACTCCCCCTTGGAAGACGTGGTGTGTCTTCCAGTGTGCACTGGCGACGGTAGTGAAGATGGCTGGCCTTGGATCGTAGAGTTGGCAGTCCCAGTCATACATAGTGTTGGTACATACAGGTTGTCAAAATGCAATTTAGTAAAACAACAAATATATAACATTGAATTATTCATACTTAACATAGCTTACATGATTTACATAAAAATTACAATTGATTGACTATTATTATACGCCACTCGTTAAGCAACACATGGTATGATAGTTATTGGTACCTAACGAGCAAGTATTATTTTCGATTTATATTTTTTTTTTTTTTGTGTTTTTTATTTCTTTGTTTTTTAAATAATAAAGATTAACAGGAAGGATCGTTAGATACGGGTAATACGGCTAATTTGACTACTTGACGCTTGACTATTCTATCCGCTATTTGGATCGAGTGGCCACTCGGACTATGCCGTCGGTACCGGGATGAACTTCTTTTACGCGTCCCAAAGGCCAATATGTTGGTGCCTTATGCGGCATATTTATTATTACAATATCTCCAACTATAACATTTGGTTGTTGTCGTGCCCATTTTGTACGTCGCTGTAGTGAAGATAAATATTCCGACGACCACCGATTCCAAAAGGATTGGGTGCATTGCCTGATCAATTCCCACCGAGATAATAGATTTATCGGTATTGATGTAAAATCTTGGGATGGTAACGCTACTAACGGTTGTCCTATTAAAAAATCGCCCGGTGTCAGTGGGCGTAAATCATTTGGGTCGGACGATAAAACGGTCAGAGGTCTTGAATTAAGAATGGTCTCGATTTGAGTGGATAGTGTAGACATTTCTTCGAATGTAAACGTTTGGACACCGATAACCCGTTTTAAGTGGTATTTAGCAGATTTGACTGCAGCCTCCCAAATACCACTGAAGTGATGAGCAGCGGGCGGGATGAAGTGCCATTTACACGGCAACAGTGTAGTTTGTCGATTGGCTGTGGTCGTTAATATTTCGTGTAGTTGTCGGCTGGCGCCTTGAAAGTTGGTCCAGCAGTCCGAATAAACATGTTATATATGTTATATATGTAATATTTAATTTAAACAACTACAAAAAAGCAATATAAATCATTCATCAGTATGTAATCTAATTTATTGATTTTAACACAAAAAATTTTTTTTCTTGCTTTAGCATTAGCAAAATTGTCAATTATTTTTTCTATATTCAGTTCATTAGTTCTACTTCTTTCTATGTTTAGAATAGCAATATTACTTAGTCTATTTTGTGATATTGAGTTTCTCAAATAATTTTTTATAAGTTTCAATTTTGAAAATTACCTCTCAGCTGAGGCCACAGTTACTGGGATTGTAAGAAATATTAAACATGCAGTTAACACATCTGGAAAACTGCAGGCCATGTCATTTTGAACAATGAAATGTATTAAATCTCTGATATCATATTGTTCTGGACCAATTAGTGATTTAATTGACAAAACTTGTCTGGTAAAGTCTGAATTAATATCAGATTTGTATTTTAAGACAAAATCATACGAGGACTTGGTTATAATAGACTCCTCGAAGATTTTTAATTTTGATGGGTTTAGAAACTCAAATGTATTCATCACTTCATTTAACCCAGTAAATCTATTATGTAACTGTGCTAAAGCTGTATCAATTAGCGGTAAAAAGATTTTAATTTTAAAATTATCTTCCGTTACATTCAATCTTCTGTCTCCATCTACTTCATCAAAATATAATTTTGCATAACGTTGTCGTTTACTTACTGACTGATTGGTAATACCCCATTTATTACACATACTTTTTGCGGTTTTTAAGACTGGGTCATAATTTTCATGTAGATTTTCAAGTGTACCAATTGTTTGCTTAAGTAAATTGCAACCATTTTGTATGTTGATATCATTAGACTGCAGACATTTGGATACTGGTTGGACCAATCTTAAAATATTTTCCCAGACACACAATAATAAAACAAATTCTATATTTTCAATTTTTTTTGCAAAGATTTGCTGTGAACAATCTCTTCATTTTTCTTGCTGGTTAGACTAATTACTGTAAGAGTCTTGAGCACATCAACAAATCTTTCTTTAAGTGCAAATACTGCACTATATCGAGCTTCCCAGAGTGTAGCACATACTTTTTTTAGAACCTTTTTACGAAATGCCGTTGCATTATCTTCTCCAAGAGTCAATAATGCCCATCTTGGAGCACTTCCACCAAAAAAGTTGAATACAAATTGTACAGTTTCAAAAAATCTCATTGCTTTGTCAGAACTCTTGGCTGCATCACAAACTACAAGGTTCAGGTTATGGGCACAACAATGAACATACATAGCATTAGGTACAATATCGTTGATTCGCTTCTGTAGCCCCGAATAAGTTCCACTCATCACACTTGCACCATCATAGCCTTGTCCTTTACATTTATTAATATCCAAACCCAAGTTGTGAAGAAGTTGAGAAATTAGATTTTTGTAAACAACAGCCCCGTGATGATGTATTTCAAAAAATCCAAGAAATGATTCCTTAATTTTAACTAAATGATTTTCAAAATCAACTAGCGAATTATAACACTGACTTGTTCAATTTTAGTTATATCTTGAGTGGAGTCCATGATAATTGCAAAACAAGAACATTGCCTAATTTCGGCACAAATTATTTCTTGCAAACATGATCCCGAAATTCCAATTAATTCATTTTGTATGGTTGGGCTCAAGTACTTGATATGATTTTCTTTATTATTCAATAATGTTTGTAAAACAGGATAAAATTCAGCCAATAAATTAACTAATCTGAGAAAATTACCTTCAGAGTATTCTTTACACTCATTCCCACGTAATGCTTTGTTCCCTGCAGTGAGTGTTAAAATTATTTTTATTATTCTTGTTAATATATCTCTCCAGAACTTTGCTTCATTTGAAATTTGGGTTTCAAGTTCTTTATCAATAGTACCATTTTTTAACCAAACTGTTCGAAGTTTTTTGGCTTCTAAATGTATTAACGAATTTTGTTCATGTAATTTTACTTTTTGGGAAAGATGTTGCCAATCGTTTATACCATCAATCCATTCAGGAGTAAAACTGCTGTTTCTACGATTAGCAAAAAGCCAACAAACTTCACAATACACTTTGTCTAGTATAACAGAGTAACATAACCATGTCCTTGGAATACGACTTCCCATTTTCGTTGACATGAAATAGTAATTTGAAGAAAATCTTCTTATCGTACCTCTTAAATTTGTACCAAGGAATTCAATGTTTGGTCTACATGGGCCGAATAATAGTATGGACATTTTAATACTATCTGTTACTTCATTATCAAAACTTCCTTTATCAGTTGGGTAACTTGACTCCAAATTCAATCCTACAATAATTTTGTTTTTATTTAACAATTAGATGAGAATTAAAACACCCACATAAAGCAAATATAATATAAGACATTTATTTTTACTTTTAGAAGAACAAACAATTAAAAGTATGTGTTACTATGATCCGATTGTACATAGTTAAGCTACTAAGCTGTTACTAATCAGTTTTAGAAAAACCATATAAAATCAAGAATTTATTACTATCATTTAAAATATTCATAAAAAAAATAAGATAATATAAGTTGGGTTATAATATGTATCTGGTGGTGTGTCGTGCGTGGAAGCAGGAACATGGTCTTCATTAATACCTTCTAACATTTAAATTTAATTAATACATATTGATAAAATAAATTCAAATTAAATATAATATGTACCTGGTGGTGTGTTGTGCGTGGAAGCAGGGACATGGTCTTCATGAATACCTTCTAACATTTAAATTTAGTTAATACATATTGATACAATGATATTCAAATTTAATATAATATGTACCTTAGGCTGGTCCTTATTTTTTAACTTTCAAAATTTCGACTCAGGTACCCGCCATTTTGTTCATTACAATGAGTAAGTTATCTAGGCTAAATTTGGTTATAATGACTCACCCCCTTCCAGTGCCTCAAGAGGGTTGAACATTTGCCATAGAGGGTAGTTTTATAGTTTTTTTTCATTTAACTCAAAAACTATAGTACTTAGCGGAAAATGTATAGAAGGTTAATTATATATTTTATTATTCTTCATAAAAAATATATTTACAAAATTTGTCGTAAGTCTGTTATTTTCCAAGAAAAATAGTAAAGTACGAAATATTTTATTTTTTTTGCAAAATAGATTTTTTACATTTATTCAAAAAAAATTGTAAAATTTCTTTAAAAATCGAACAAAATTTAATTTCTTGAAAAAAATGTAATTTGTAATAGGTAACTAAATTTATGTAAATTAGGCAAATTATATAGAAGTTATTATAAAATTGTATTTTAACTATCCCATTTTATTATAAGTTTGTTTTAAAACTTCACGGCTGAATCCCGGGTATTGCTTCCTATAATCTTGAACAATCTAAAATAATAAATAATACATTTTAATAAATTCCTAATTATTCCACGAGCAAAAAAAAAATAAAAAATTACCTGTAACACGTATTGTTTCTGTTCCTCTTGTTTCGTAAATTTGTCGTTGAACTCCTCCATCAATTTCACACCTCTTTCTGCACTATCATTGACAACTTTTAATGTAGCTATAATATCCTTTGCTTCTTTATATTCGGTGGTTATTTTCCATAAATTTGGATCCTTATGTAAAAAGTTCGAAGAAATACGAAATCTTTGAAAAAACTGTATCGATTTATTTGATATTAACTCAAATGGAAGATCTTTATGTTGAAAGTGAAGCTTGACGGACTAATGATGTTAGCATTATTATAATAAGTAATAACACGACAATATGATTATGTATAAGTATAATATATAATAACGTACAACTGGACAATTAAACTGTGACTATACACACACACCGCGTACACTCGGTATGACAGCGTCTGTGCAAGTGAATATAACATACATCAAAGGCCCTATATATATGCACGACCGAGGTCATGTTACATCCGTAAAGAGAGTGAGTCTTATGCTCGTACATAACTAGTTACTAAATTGTACACACGTGTCAAGGCTGACTACATATACTACATATTAATTGTATATTTCAACACCCTCCCTCAATTAATAATCTCTTTAATTGTAGTCACTCCTATGGCTGACCGCAACTTCTCGAATCGTTCCTTAACCAAAGGCTTGGTTAGAATGTCCGCAATCTGGTCCTCTGTTCCAATGTACTGTAGTTGGAATTGTCCCTCTTCGTATTTCTCCCGTATGAAGTGTGGTACCGTACGTCTATATGTTTTGTCCTCTTATGAAACTCCGGATTCTTAACTAAACGTATAGCACTCTGATTATCTATAAATAAAACTGGTTGTTTGTCACCTGTTGTTGATAAGCTTGTTATCAACCGTGTAATCCACAAGATCCCTTTTACAGCTTCACTGGCCGAAATATATTCAGCCTCTGTCGATGATAACGACACACAATGTTGTCTCTGCGATGTCCATGAAATTATGCTTGACCCGTACCTGAATAGAAATCCTGACGTCGAACGTCGTGTCTGAATGTCGCCTGCGTAATCTGCATCGCTAAATATTTCTAATGACAATTTTATTTTGTTATTAAAGTACAAGCCATAATTAAATGTTCGCTTGATATATCGTATAATCCGTTTTACCAAGTTCCAATGAGCTTTAGTTGGTTTTGCTAAGTAACGACTAGCAAAGTTTACTGCATATGCTATATCTGGTCTTGTTACCTGTGATAAGAACAATAAGCTACCTACTGCCTGCCTATAAGGAATATCTTCATTCAATATTTCCGTATCTTCTTTTTGTTCGAGTGTATGTGATTTGTCTATTGGTATTGAAAGTTCCTTGGCGTCCAGCATATTAAATTTATTAATTATGCTACATGCATAATTTGTCTGATGCACAAATAATGAACCATTTTTCATTATATTTACCTGCATACCTAGGAAATAATCTAAGTTTCCTTTTTTAACCTCAAACTCTTTCTCCAAGTTCGTTAAAAGTTTCTCTATTATCTCTTCATTATCTGCCGCGATTAAACCATCGTCAACAAATATTGCAAGAATAATTTGGCTGTTATCAGCTTTGAATACACATGCATCCGCTTCAGTACATTGTAAACCAAATGCATTCAAAAAGTTCTTAAAGCGTATATTCCAACATCTTGGACTTTGTTTTAAGCCATATAAACTACGCTGAAGCTTACATACTTTATTCGATCCATCTTCGTATCCTGGTGGTTGTACCATGTAAATTTCTTCCTTTAGTTCTCCGTACAGAAATGCTGTCTTGATGTCGAATTGTCGTAGTATTAATTTTTCCACAGCTGCTACTGCGAATATCGCCCTAATTGATTCGTATCTGACCACTGGCGAAAATGTTTCATGGTAATCTATACCATATTTCTGTGAACAACCTTTAATGACCAATCTGGCCTTAAATTTATCGATAATACCGTCACTTTTATATTTGGTTTTGAACACCCATGCGTTACGTAACGCAACCTTGCCCTGAGGCAAATTAACTAGTGACCAAGTGTTGTTTTTGTGTAGTGATTTGATTTCATCACTCATAGCGTGCTCCCACTCGTTTTTCTGTGGGCCAGCTATCGCTTCATCACGATTTAGTGGTTCAACGAGATTGGCGACGAACGACGACACATTATACCTGATCGGCGCTTTTTATGTATTCCGATCACGTAGCACCATGCCACTCCTGTTGTCGACCGTCGTCAATTCAACCTTGACCGGATCGCCCTCGACTTGAGTCTGAGTATCTGTGAATTCTAATTTGTCTGCAATTATATTTTCCAATTTATTACCTTCGTTTTCGAATATAATATCTCTAGACATTGAAATTCTATTTGTTTTCGAATAATACACACGATAACCTTTCGTGTTATCCGAATAGCCAACAAATATTCCTTTTTCACTTTTAGGGTCCCACTTTTTACGTTTTTGCTTTGGTATGTGTGTATATACGACAGTACCAAAAACTCGTAAGTGTTTAATGTCTGGCATTACCTTGTAATATAACTCGTATGGTGAGTTATTTTTAACTGAACTGGTTCCTGTTCGATTAAGCGTGTAAACAGCCGTGTTTACCGCCTCCGCCCAAAGTGATACATCCAAATTTTTCGCACAAATCATTGTCCTCGCTGACTCTACTATTGTACGATTTTCCCGTTCCACTTTTCCATTTTGCTGTGGTGTGTAGGGAACTGTTAACTGATGTCGAATCCCGTGTTTTTGTAAAATACCCGTAATTTCTTTATTTACGTATTCTAATCCATTATCCGTTCGTAATATTTTGACCTTAGAACCTGTTTCTGTTTCAACACTTTTTATGAACGTCTCAAAAATATTTTTAACATCATATTTATTTTTAATAAAATATACCGTTCTATAATGCGAGTAGTCGTCTTTGAATAACAAAAAGTATTTTGAACCGCCTATAGAGCTTACCTCCATTGGTCCACATAGGTCTGCATGAATTAAATCACCGACATTGTGATACTCCGTATTACTTTTACTAAATGATTTACGAGTTTGTTTACCTATTATACAACTGCTGCACATGAATTCGTCGTCCTTGGCCGAACATACTATTTCGTGTTTCGCCAAACAACTTTTTACGTACTGTAAATTCTGATGTGCCATGCGCTCGTGCCAAACAGACAACCTGTTTTCGACAGCTACCGTCGCGTACCCGTTTGTCGGTACTTCGACCTTGATGTTTAACTCAAACAACCTTCCGCATCTCTTACCTGAGCATACGGGTTTCCCCTGTTTAGTTAACATACACGTCTTACTATCTGACGTCATTACTAAACCTTTATCCATCGCGGCTCCGCACGAAAATAAATTAAATTTTAGTCCTGGCACGTGCAACACGTTTGCCATGTAATTTTTATTCCAATTACCGTTTACGTATGATAATATATTAATATTACCTCTACCTGCTGCATACAGATTTGTCCCATCACCTATCGTGATTTGTTGCGTGTTGTCCAGTGGTTCATAACTTGAAAACCACTCTCGATTTGCGCTCATATGATCCGACGCGCCCGAGTCTAGTACCCACGCATCTGTTGCAATATTATTTATACTTGACTCGCTTACGAATGCGTTCAAGTTCGCACCTATCGTACCGGTTTTACCACCGTGTACACTTTGTAGAAAATTTCTACAGTCTCTTTTATAAT